TAGGAGAAAACAATTTCTACCAGCATATCATTCTTTCCCCAATGAAAACAGATGTATCAGATCTGTAATTTGCATACCAAGACAATAATTAGAATATTTAATTATATATGATGAATAGTAAATTATTAAACATGGAACACTGGTTCTAGAGGGATAGGTATACATTAATTATGGAATAGCTATCTTTTATTTTAATCTTTCTCTGGTTGTGTGCTTTACATTAGAATTATATTGAATAATGGTCTGGGATACTTTTGACCCTACATGTGTTAAAAATTTCTCCAACCTATGTGGTATTGTCATCCAATAAGCCACTACTGGTAGTCCTGATCTGGCCACACGGTTGAAAATTAAAGCACAACATCTCTTCCACATCTTCTAAAGACAATGTTGAGTCATTGAATATATTTAAGTAGCTCTATGTTGTCTAATACTTATATCATACAAAAGCATGAATATAATTAATAAGTGCAAGTACCATTGGGTCTATAGAATATTTTGTTTGGCATGTTGCAGGTCTTTTTGTGATCATTCATGGTTGTAATATGATAAATATAAATGTTCATTATACACTTATAAAAGAGCTAACTCAGTTATAAGACCAGGTAGAGTAAAAAATTAGATAAGCTAGATTTACTTTTTTACTTGTACATAATAGTTCCAAAATAATAAATCAAATACCAAGGAACACCCTTTAAGAAGTACTTAACATTTATAAAAATTAAAGTATAACATGAAATCAAGAGATAGATATTAACCATATTTTATAAGTAGGTGTCTATTATTAACAAACTATAATATTTAAGAATATCATTAAGAAAAATCTATAGTCATGTGTAATAAGTTTGTGCAAATAAGTAAAATAACCTTTTACAAAGGTTAACAAATTAGTCATCTAAATGACCACATTTCATTCATCTTCCATAGCATGACCAATAACCAATATATTCCAATTATGTTATATTCCAAAAATATACCTATTAAAATTTTGACAAAAACATTTGAAAAGCCCATTCTTTATATATAATATCTGTGGTCAATCTCTAGTCAGTCCTAGTACTGACAATTATTTTTTTCATTGGTTTTTACTTTGATGTCAGTTTTTTAAGTGAATATTTTTCTGCCTCTAGATTTCAATACTATTTTTCTTCTTACCATTTACATTATACTAACGTGAAGGTACCCAGAAAATGTAGCAAACAGAAGTAAGATTTTCTTCTCTTTCAAAGAGCAATACAGTCCATATCTTGAGTTGGGTTAACTGTAATAGCTATTTGCATAACATGCAGTCTTGCCATGAAAGTAGCATGTTTAGGTATTTCAACATATTTGTATTCTTTTTGACACCTTAATAAATGAGAAATCATTTTGAAGAAGTTATAAACAAAACTGTATTCTATGTTTGCTTCTTTCCCATATCCCTTGGCAGGTAACATATCTCAAATATAATAGCAAATTTACCTTGTCTAGTTTAGTGTTTTATGAAAGCAACTTTCTTTTCCATTCCTGTCATCATCTCTTTGATTTGCCTAAGTAATGGGATTTTTCAGACCGAATCATGGGTTTTGATCAAGTTTTATGGCTAATTTGTCTAAGGAATGAGAGGGTTAAAATTCTACTAATCAGTAGAGCTATGATGGATTTTTTTTCCTGAGTATGAAACAAGTGTTAACAATAACCAGTATCCTGAAGAAATCCAGGCATTTTGTTCACTCTGAGGTGCCTATTTCTAGGATCTAGAGAGAATTTAATAAATAATTAATTACTTACTATGTGAAGTCTGCTTCGTCACTTGGCAATTCCTTTTAAAAATGAACAGTACTCTTGGGTTTCTCTTTAAATAGTTTCATTAATTTTGACACATATCTAAATTATCTTTTAAATGGTAGTAATACATGATTTAATTTCAGTTACCAAATATATAGTGCAGAAGCAAATTTCACACTAATCGTGGAAAATAATGATTAATTATTTTATCATTTAATTTATTGTTTAATCTAGATTTAATCATTATTGACAATAGTTCACACACACACACACACATATATATATATATATATATATATATATATTGAAGTACTTTTGGATTTATTTGCTTCTAAGTGATTTTATTCTCAAGCAAAGCTCTATATATATGAATGTAACCATATTTGGAGTTTTTTTTCTGAATGTCAAGGGAACAAATTTATTTGTGTGTCTACTCCTAATAAATATATAGGTTAATTAGGAATTTAAAATTTAAATTCTAACTTTATCATAGGCTTCTTCTTTAACTTGGAAAAATTACTGTATTTTTTCTACTTGATTTTCTGTTGTTGAAGTTATGATTTTCATTTATTTAACATACACATTTTTAAAATTGGCAGTTGTGCTCTTTTAAAATTTTTCTCAATGCTTATAAAATAGAATGTTTCTTGGGGCACAGATTGGACAGAATCTAGCTTTCTTAAGACAGGAACTTAGTCTTCCAAATTTCAGATTCTCTTAAAATCCTCATAACACCCTTTGCACAGACAATTTTTTGTTGCTCCTTAGAAAGTGTGTGTGTGTGTGTGTGTGTGTGTGTGTGTTGTGGGTGTTTTTTTGTGTTTTACATCCCAGAGTATAGCTGTCCAAGGAATGTATGGCTATATGCAAGCATCCTTTTAATCATTTATGTAAGCTAGTCCTTTTAAACTCAGGAAAAGACCAAAAAAGAGTTTAGATTGGAGATGGATTGCCCAAGGCCTGAAAAGCATTGCTTTGCCTAGAACCACCCCCAAAAGGTGATAAATGTGGAAGACTTCTTTTACCTTTAAATTGGAAAGATCTTTTCATATTACAAAGCTTCCTAGTAGGCCTGAAGCAGCCATTTGAGAAGTTTATGTGCATACTTTTCTTGTTTATTTTTATCCAAAAAAAAGTCTTAAGAATACCTAGTGTTCATCAACATCAGACCCATCCCAAGGTGCTCAGAGAACAGGAAACCCACAATGTAGAATATATTTGTTTCATTTAATAATTTTGTTAGAAAACTGCATGCAGTTTTATTATTCTTTCTAATTAAAGATAAATTTATTATAGATTTTTTTTCTTAATAAGTTGCCAGATTATACAAAGATTCCTTGAAACCAAGAATAAAAAATATCATTTGATTTTTCTACAGTTAGGTAGAGGTCAGAAAAGAAAGCTTTTATTCAACATATTTCAGGAGGAACACATGGCCTTTAGGGAACAACATGGTTTAACTGAACTTAGTCAATAATAGATAGCAATCCCCTGTTTAATTTATTAGCCACCTGTTTCATTCTTACAGTATAATAGAAAAAATAGGATTCCATCATCCCATATGCTCATTTTGTATTCTGCATATTCAGAGGAACATTTCAAATCATATAAAACCTCAAAAGTTGAAATTAAGGATTAACAAACATTCACAACTTTTAAGAAGATTAGATATAAATTTCATGTTTATTTATTAGTATCTTTATCATAGCAACCTTCTACTACAAAATTCAAAATAAATGAAGAAAAATTATGCCAACAATTTCTCAAATCTTGTGTTGGCTTCACACCAATAAAAAACATTATTATAATACTTAAAGCTTAAGTTTATCTACCTCAAAGAACACTGTGGACTCCACCAATAATTGCTAACTTGAATAAAGACAAAAATATCCAGGGTGTGCTGAATAAAGAAAGGATAATATCTAAAAAGAAAACAGATATCACTCTTTACTGTCATATAAGGTACTGCTCAAACCCAAGCCCAGTCACTCAAAGTGCACCCACCATACACATAATTTAGCCTCCCCTCCATCTAACATGAACACATTTTCTCACTCACACACCCATGTGGTAGGCAACGGACACATTTGTGAAGACATGTCAAGTACGTGGTAGGCATGTAACTAGAGATTTTGATACCTCTTTTTGCACTTGTAACTGTCAGGAAATCTTAAGTTTCATTCCAGAGATGTACTCTGGAAGCAGTTTGAATTAGTCTGATTTTCCAAAGGGACAGGGTTTAAGGCATGGACTCTAGGAAATCTCTTCGCATTGAGATTTCCATGTCAACAGGTTTGCAGCATGATCTTGTACTTTTAAGTATTTATCAAACAAATAAAACTTTTCATATGGATATGTTTGTTCAGATGAGTGAACAGTTTAAATCGTTAGTCAAAAAATCATTCCACATTTTGATTAATATTAACTCAATGTTTTAGTTAGCTTTTGCATCATTGTGACCAAAATACCCCACAAGAACAACGTAAATGAGGGAAAATTTATTTAGAGGTCTTAATCCATAGATGGTCAACTCCATTGCTCTGGGCCCAAGGTGAGACAGCACATCATGGCAGAAGGACCCAATAGAGGAAAGCTCCTCATCTCATGATGGGGTCAGGAAACAGAGACAGGGAGGGGAAAGGGGGCCACAGAGAAGATGCACCCTTCCAGGGCACTCTCCGAGTAACCCACCTCCTCCAACTATACCCCACCTTCATACAGTTACTACCCAGTCAGTCCAGCCAATCCAGGATAGATGAATTAGGTTTTAGCTCTGGACATTCCTGCATTAGCACAGGAGTTTTGGAGGGGCACCTCATATCCCGACCATAAAACGTAAATAATTATACTATCAATCAAATATTTCTCCTTTAATACTTCTACAGCATTTACCCACATTTTTTGAGCTCCACGTTAGCTTGTTTTACTCATGTTTCAAGCCATGTCACCTAACACAGAAAGTATAAATCAATAACTAGAGTATAAATTAGTAACTAGAAACTTATATGTGTACAATACTCTTTTACTACCAACTTTTATTTCTGTTTGCCAATTAATGCATTTTAAAAAGAGAACTGTTAACCGCTCTTCCTGTTTTCAAGTTCATGTAGAAATTTGAAGTGGTTGTCGAACTCACATCCATTAAGCTTCTGCCACATTAAGGTCACATTTCCTTTTTCAATAGCATTCCAGAATAAGAGCTATTAATAATTTGGGGTTATTTTTGTCAATAACATGCACAATTTCATGATTCTCTTTGCAAAGATGATACATGGCATTTATTTTTACACTTGTATTATTCTATAAAACCAGTCTGAAAGTAGAGAAAAGGAATAGCTACTCTCATAATAAAATATTAGAAATAAAGAATAATACCCATTCCTGAACTGCTGTATATTATTTTGTTCACAGAGATTTTCCTAAGCACTGATATTTTTAAACAGAGATTTTCATAAGTAATGATATTTTTAACCATAGGCAGTTCTTTTTAATTACTGTCAAAATAATAGCTGCCTTTACCTGGTATATGTTGTCTTTGCAAAGAAAAAGTATTATATCTAGTAGCCTATGACATTAATTATAAGTACCAACATTTCAAAAATAAAATGTCAGAAATGGCATCATATTGCTTACCTCTACATTATTTCTGGTTGGTAGACAGTTTGATATTTGCCTGGAAAATTAAAGACTTAGTCAGCAAGTCCTATTTCCTTGTGTTTATTTTTTTCAGAGAATATATTAACTTTCTCATTGAAAAGAATAGCATGATTCCTTACAACGTGTGAGATTTTTTTGTACTCACTGGACATATTGAACATTTTAGTATAAACCATGTATAGGAGTCAGAGAATGTAAGCATTCACCCAATGTAGCTATTTATAAGCTATGTACCGTAAATTATATATTTGGCTTTTCCAGGAAATAATTACATATACCAAAAAGTTATCATTTTATGTGACAAAAACAATTACTTCCATATAACTTAATGTTTTGAATTGAATTTTCACTCAAGTAATGAAACTAAGAGTTGGAGAGAGAAGACAGAAAGATTTAATCATTAGAGAAATTACCTGTAGAACACTAAAGAAAATTCTTTTTTAATGTTAAAAATGTTAGACAACTTTAAATAAGTAGAATAATGTCTTACTGAAACACATGTAAAAAGATAATTTAAAGGATTTGCATGTTGGAAAGCTAAGTATTATAAAGATAATTTGATCTGAATTAATTTAGAATTTTAATACAATTCTAATCTAAATGCAAAGGCAATATTATTTAAAATTAGCTGAGAAATATCTCTGGAATAATACCAGAGGGTAGGAGAGGTTAAAAGTGTTTTTTTAAGTGAAAAAAAAATAATAAAGAACTCATCATTTCAGATACTAATATATATATAAAATAAAGAAATTCCAAAAAGGTGTTACATACTTTACTATGCAGAGTTCACCAGAGAAACAGAACCAAAAGGACATATATAGATGTCAATGTAGATATAGGTATTGATACAAATAAATAGGAGGAGATATATTAAGGGAATTTGCGCTTGTGGTTATGGAGGCTGAGAAGCCCTCACAACAGGTGGTCAGTGCTGTGGAGACCCTGGGATGACTGGCCCCTCAGGCCACACCTAAAAGCCTCAGCATCAGGGAAGCTGGTGGTGGAAATCTTGACACAAGGGCAAAGACCTCGGAACCCGGAGAGTTGCTGGTAAGTCCCCAGAACCCAAAGGCTGGAGAACTGGGAGTCATTGTGTCCAAAAACAAGAAAACAGGAGCCCAGATTCAGGAGGCATAGAAGAAAAAATTTGCCCTTTCTCTGCCTTATATTTTTCCTATTTAAAATCCAGATGATTGAATGGTGTTCACCCTCATTGAGGACACATCCTCCTCAATCATCTACGGAGTCCTAATACCAACCATCCCTCAAAATAATCTCAGAGGCACACCAGATGCAATGCCTTACTAGAACTAGTTATTCCTTAATTGAGCCAAGCTGACCCCTAAAGTTAGCTCTCAGGAAGATAAAATGTATTGATTAATGAAAACAAAATCTCTGCTCCTCATTATTTATAAAACGTTAATAAAGAATGAAATCTTAATTTTAAGAGAAAAATGACTATAACCATTCTGGGATAATCATATTAGATTTCCACTTCATTTCTTTTGTTTCATCAAACTCAAATGGATTACTCCAATGGACAATTTTTATGTGTCCGTTTGATTAGATGGTGGTACTCAACTATTTGGCCAAACAACAGTCTAGTTGTTTCTGTGAAAGTACTTTTTAAATATGATGAACATATAAATAAATAGACACTAAATAAAGCAGATTGCTCTTCATAATGTGGGTGGACCTTAATCTAACCAGTAGATGGCCAAAAGGACAAAGAATAAAGTCAGCAGAAGAACAAAGACTATTCATTAGAACTGTAACATGGAGAGCCTGCCTGAGTTCTCAGCTTGTTTCCCTGGAGAGCGAGAATTCTAGACTGCAATAACAGCTCTTTCCTGAATTTCCAACCTGATGTCCTGTGCAACCCCTCTGGAAAGCAATATGGAGAATCCTCAAAAAAGTAGAAATGGAACCACTGGTTGACCCAGTTATCGCACTCCTCAGCATGTATCCAAAGGAGTTAAAATCAACATACTATACACAGCCACATTAGAGTTTCTAGTAGCACAGTTCACAATAACTAAGTTATGGAACCAACCTAGATATCCAATCAACAGATGGATGGACAAAGAAATTGTGGTATACATACACAATAGAATATTACTCTACCATTAAGAATTATTTTGTGATATTTTGCAGTAAATGGATGGATCTGGAGAATATCATGCTGAGTGAAATAAGCCAAGTCCAAACAGCAAAGGTCCATTGTTTTTTCAGATATGCAGAAGCTAAACCACAAAAAAGATGTGGAGGTGGGAGAAGTTCATTAGACAAGACAAAGGGGAATGAAAGGAAGGGAGAAGCAAAAGGAGTAGGAAAGTCAGAATAAATCTAATATAATTTCCCTATACACTTATTTGAAAATACCTATGTGAATTCCACTATTGTGCCCACTCACTAAAATGGGTTTCTAATTAGAATATAATATATCCCATGCTTGTATAATTTTATCAAAATGGATTCTACTTTCTTGTATCACTAAGAAGAACCTATACAAACTTTACTCATTTAGTTGTTTTTCACTTTGGAATATTTAAAAAAAAGATATTAAGTTATTATATTTTAAGAAGAGTAACATTTGAAACAATTCCATTTTTAAAGCATTTATTGAAACCAAGTCCATCCTGAAAACCATATATGTAACCATGAAGATTTATATGTTATATTCCCAGTTCCAACTAGGATAAGTAATAGTAATTCTACCATAAAGTTATTTTTTTATTGGTTGTTCAAAACATTATAAAGCACTTGGCATACCACATTTCATACATTAGATTCAAGTGGGTTATGAACTCCCATTTTTACCCCAATTACAGATTGCAGAATCACATCAGTTACACATCCACATTTTTACATGATGCCATATTAGTGACTGCTGTATTCTGCTACCTTTCCTATCCTCTACTATCCCCCCTCCCCTCCCCTCCCATCTTCTCTCTCTATCCCATCTACTGCAATTCATTTCTCTCCTTATTTTTTTCCCCATTCCCCTCACAACCTCTTATATGTAATTTTGTGTAACAGTGAGGATCTCCTTCCATTTCCATGTAATTTCCCTTTTCTAGTTATTATAAGTAACACCTATTCTCTAATAAGGTTTGATAGCATAATCACTTATTTCTTCATTTATATGTGTCTTTAACATTAATTGAATGTTTCCCACCCACAAGCATTAGTGAAGGCACAGGAGAAAAAAAAATTGTCTCTGTGGCAGGTTTTTTTCCCTCCACCTATTATGACAGCAAGCTAAGTACCTACGATGGAATGGCTGTAGGTTTCTATCCACCTTGAAAGACTTGTCTCCTTTTGAAATTTAGCTTATTTTGGACTTCTTTGTGCCCTGCAGAATCTCAGTGACTTCAAATACACATATTACCACTATGGTTGGTCTGTTTATCCTGATTATTCTCATTGTTACAATGAGAGTGACAGTCTGTTATGATTTTCCACATCTGATAGCAAGGGGAAGATCTATAATATGCCATCAAAGACATGATTTAATATGGATCAGAGAAGCATTCTTTCTTTCCTTACTTTCAGAATGTTTGTGCTTTGTGTGGATGTTTATGTTTCCAAACTGTTATCTACCTTGTGATTTTGAGTTCTATTTTCATTCTTGCTATTATCAATTCCAGGTTTCTAGTTGAGCAAGTGACTGATCTTATTCCATAGTATCACATCTGCTTTTAAAAACTAATTTATTTTTAATTGGAAAATACTTGTCTGTTTATGGGGTACAGTATTATGTATTGAACTATGTATGTGTTGTACAAAGATTCAATCAAGGCAATTACATATTCATCACTTCACTTACATTTTTATTGTGAGAATGTTAAAAATCTATTAGCAATTTGTAAGTATACAGAACACTATTATTAACTATGGTCAATATGCCCTAAAACAGATTTCTCCAATCCTACTGAAAATTGTAACTTTTAATCAACCTCTCTTCTCTTCCCATCTTTCTCCTTTCCTATTGGTGTTTGGTAACTACCTTGCTATTCTCTGTTTCTATAACATGAACATTTTTTGATTACACATATAAATGAGAACATACTGTATTTCTCATTCTGTGCCTGGCTATTTCATTTATCATAATGACCCCAGCTCAATTCTTGTTGTTATGATTGACAGAATTATTTCATACTTAAGGTTATATATAGTCTTCCATTGTATGTATAGTATTTTCTTTTTTATTCCTAATCAAATACTTATTTTAGGGGCTGGGATTGTGGCTCATAGGAAAAGTGTTCGAATAGCATGCGTGAGGCACTGAGTTCGATCCCCAGCGCCACATAAAAAATAAATAAAGGTATTGTGTCCACCTACAACTAAAGAATAAATGTTTTAAAAAATGCTTATTTTATTTTAAATTGATGGATAAATTTGTATGTATTTATCATGTATAGCATGATGTTTTGAAGTATGTATACATTGTGGAATGGTTAAATTCAGATAATTAGCAAATATGTTCTCACATACTTATCCTTTTGGGTGTAAGAATACTTAACATCCACCCTCTGCAGTTTTCAGCAGTACAGAATATCATTATTATCTATAGTCACCATGCTGTACAATAGATCTCTTGAACTTTTTCCTCCCATTCAATCATAAGACCCAGCATTCCTACTTGCAGATATATAGCCAAAGGAAATGAAATCAGTATCTAAGGAAGATCTCAGCCCTCATATGTTTGCTGCAGCACTATTCACAATAACCATGAAACAGTAAACCTAAGTGTTCATCAGTGAGTGATTCTATAAAGAAAATGTACAGATATAAATACTATAGATGTATAGTTATAAATACTAACAAGCCATAAAAGAGAATGAAATTCTGTCATTTGCAACAACATGGATGATCCTGGAAGACATTACATTAATTGAAATAATCCAGGCACAGAAAGACAGATCTCACCTTCAAAAGTTTATCTTAGAGAAGCAGTGGTTACTGGAGGCTAGGGTGGTAAAGGAAGGTAGAGGAACTTCAAAAACTATATGT